CTGTCTCTTTAAAAAAAAAGATATTCAGTTTTTTTTTTAAAAAAAAAAAAGCTATATTACTCTTGTAGAAAGTCATCTTGGTTGTCAGTGAATCGTTCGCATACAAATCCGTCTTCTGTAAACCTGCTGAGTGGCAGGGATGAAAGGTCAGGTTTGTCCTCATTTCCTGCGTTGATAATGCATTCCCCTCGGAATGGTGCTGGAAGTTCACAGCACTGAGTGATCTTGCTGGATAGGGCAGCCTGTGCAGAGCAGATGTAGTTCATAAGCTGGCTCTATAAAACAGAGACAGGAGGGGGACTTTTTTGATGGCTTCATTCTGAACTTATTTTTTATATTAGTAGAAAACCAGGGGGAAAAAATGGTACCTTAGAGAGCTTTATCTGTAGGCCAAAAAGTCATTTATAGTTACTCATTTTAGAAAGACATACTCACCTACTTGAACTTACTCAATTTTCACAGCTCTTTTTAACATCTAGCAAAGAACATATGAGACAGACCTTATTATTGTTTCTATGTTTAGCCCCAGAAAAACACAAATGAAAAATTTGACTGTCTTTCTATTGTGATTCTTTTTGAGGGATTCCAATTTAGGGAGCATTTTGTCCCTGAGTCACATCACAATTTTTCCTTTATTGTATACAATCTATATTACTATCACACTTACATGTTTACTTATATATGCATCCAAATAATTGGGTGTGTATATAAATAAACTAGTCTCTGCATCTAAGGAATTTGCGATCTGGCTGGAGAGTCAAATAATTAAATAACAATCCTAATACATTATAATGTTAGATGTTGTAAGAGAAGTACACACATTTTTCTTTGGAAGCAAAAAGAGAGATTGGGAGTTCAGACTGGAGGGATGTCACAATGAAGATCTTCAATGATTTGAGTCTTGAAAGACAAATAGAAATTAATTTGAAGCAAGTGAAGAGGAAAAGAATTCTGGAATTATTTATCTTTATATATAAAGAATCTTAAAAGTATAAAAGCATGACATATTTGGGAAATGGAATAAAGGGAGGGTGTTTGGAAGTTATTGAGAAAATTTTGTCAAGGAATGATGATGGGTGAATCAAATCAGTGATCAGACAGTAGAATGTGAAATATTTTAATAATAAGAATTAAAGGGGAGTGAGAAAAAATAACCTAGGCTATAATATGGGATAAGGTTGATGATAGTATAATTTACTGAAACTGATATTCAGGGGAACTATCAGGTTTGAGGAGTGTGGTTACAAAAGGGAAGCCAAGGGTTGAATAATGAGAGCATCTGTTCAGGGAGCCCAAGCTGCCTATTAAGCTCCATCAAGATGACAACCTCCCAAAACCATGGACACCTTGTGGCAGAGCCTATAGGGGAAAGCCAGTGAGGAGCCTGACTTGGATTGGCGAAGACCTGGGCAAGAAGCTGGAAGAATATGTCATCCTTGGTCAATTTCTGGTGATAAAGAAAGATGAAGATCTCTTCCAGGAATGGCTGAAGGACACATGGCGCGCCTACGTAAGCAGTCCCAGAACTGCTTTGGGTGCCTTCTTGTGATGTTCTCTGGGGGGCCCTCCATCCCCAGACCCATTATCAAGTCTCTAGAATTTGCAGCTGAGTGAGGGCTCCTTGTCCTCCACAAAGGAAAAGATTGCTGTTGTCTTTGGGAGTTCTCTCCCCTCACCATTTCAATCTTTTTGGAATTTTTGCTCTGGGATGCAACTCCCTTTCTTTCCCTGCCAGTTCCATGGAAACCATTAACCAGCCTTTCTGATTAGATTCCTGGCCTCTTCCCTCATCCCCACCTTCACCTCTGGTTGGTTTGATGCCCTTTGTCACCTTTTGGGCATAGCAGTCACTGTCCTTGTCAAGTTTTTTAGATCAATAAAGTCGATGGACTTCAAAAAAAAAAGGGGGGGGGGAGCCAAAGAGGGCCAGGGTTACATGTGAGGCACTGGGTTTGATCCTCAGCACCACACTAAAAAATACAAATAAATTTTAAAAAGGTAGTGTATCTATCTACAACTAAAAAAATGTTTTAAAAAAGGAAGCCAAAGAATTTGCTATGGATATATAGAGTTTAAGATGATGTAAGGCATCTATGAGGCATCTAGGAGGAGATTTCCTCTAACAAGTTGGGGGTATAAACTAATGACTCAGGAAAAAAGAATAGAATGAAGGTACAAATCTGAGAGTAGTAATTTTAGTTGAAACTAAATTACAAGTCAAGTATACTTCAGGGAAAGTGTGTCTCAATTAAGCAAGCACCATGCTCTCAGTGGCTCAACAAACAAGGTCATCTCTCTCCAAAAGTCCCAGCAGGGAGGAAAGTTATATGTCCTCTAACAGTAGTTCTGGGAAGTTGGCTGACAGAGGCTTTGCCATAACCAACCTGTGCCTTCCAATGTAGCCTTCAGCATTAAAATCTACCAGGTATTGAGGGGTATTGTAGAATATAGCCAGGAGGTTTCTATGGGTCAGACCTAGAAAAGGCATAGACCACCTCTGAACAAAACTAGTTTTGAGACAGGCAGGAAATACAGTTCATGGCCCAGCAACCACCCTGGACTGGGGAAAAGGAAACTGAATCCTTTGCCGGACAACAATATCTGTAGCAGAACTTATAGGGTAAGAAAAAGAAAGGTCAGCTGATATTGTGGCACATGCCTGTGATCCCAGTGATCCAGGAGGGTGAGATAGAAGTATCACAAGTTCAAGACTAATCTCAGCAACTTAGCAAGACCCTGTCACAAAATAAAAAATAAAAGGGCTAGAAATGTGACTCAGTGGTTAAGCACCCTGTGGGTTCAATCTCCAGTACACAAAAAATTAAATAAAATAAAGCCACTAACACATCTGTCTAGAATATCAATTTTTAAAGAGTAGTAAAAAAAAGAGGAAAATTTTGATGAATGCAACTGTAAGAATATAGACATTCTAAGATGAAAAACTTTTCCCACCATCTTTTGTGGAAGAATAAATTGTTGTATTGAATTACAGATAAAATCTTAAAGACAGAGCTATCTTGACTTTGCTACTTCCTGGCTCTGCAACTTTATCAAGTTGCTTCATCTCTTTGTATCTCAATTTTCTAATCTATAAAATGGGTATAAAAATAATACTTGATGTGGCTATGGGAATTAAATGAATTGATATTTCTTAAGATCAAGGAACAAAGCCTAGTACAAACTAAATGCTATAAAATGGTTTATCAAATTTAAAAAAAAAGTGATTACTACATAATCTTAGAAAGTTGTTCCTATAGTGCTATGAAGTCAGGGAATGAGAGAACCTAACTGAATTGTGTTGACTGGCTGATATAAAAAATGTTAAACTATATTAATTTATGTCACTTAATATTAATGTTCATTATAGACATACTGCTTTGTAACATAATGCTGTGAAATAACATGGTAGGATGCAATGATCTCTACAAGAAAATAGTGAAAACCTTCTTATACAATGTTTATAGTAGCACAATTTTCAATAGCCAAGCTACAGAACCAAACCACGTGCCCTTCAATAAGTGAATGAATAAATCAAATGGAGTATTACACAATGGAGTATTAATCAGTCATAAAACATTTGCCAGTAAATGGATGGATCTGGAGACTGTCAAGCCAAGTCAGTCTCCAAAGACCAAAGATCAAATGTTTTCACTGATATGTGGAAGCTAACCCACACTAAGTGGAGGGGGTGTTGGAGAATCGAAGGTCAGTGTGTAGACAAAGGGGATTGAAGAGAAGTGGGGGGAGGATGGGAATAGGAAAGACAGTGGAATGAATCTGACATGACTTTCCTATGTACATACATGAATACACCACAGTGAATCTCACCATCAAGTGCATCCACAAGAAATTAATTTAAAAAAAAACTGTAGGCAAGTGGCATAAAGATCAATATAGAGAAGGGATGAGGGTGTAGGGAAAGGAAGGGGAAGGAGAGGTAATGGGGTTTGAACTAGAACATGACATATTCCATGCTTTTATTATTAAAATGGATTCTATTATCATGTATAACTAAAAAGAACCTAATAATAATAATAATAATAATAATAATAATAATAATAATAAAGAAATGGGGCTGAGGGTGTACTTCAGTGGTAGAGCCCTTGACTAGCATGTGTGAGGGGCCCTGGATTTCAACCCCAGCAGCAGCACAGAAATAAACAAACAAGCATATAAGTAAATTAAAATAAAAGAAGTAAGAAAGTAAAGAAAGGACAGAAGAAAAATTACTACCTGAGCTAGGAACAGAGAGGAGGAAGACAGCATTCTACTGATAATATTGAGAAATCATCCTTATTTTTCTAGATCATTTATTATTACTGTACCATTATTTAAGAATTCTAAGCTGTTTAAAGAATAAAGTGAGTTTCAGGAAAAAGATTCTTACCCTACCAAGAGCACACGCAACTGTGTTTCCTTCACAGCAGGTCTCATGCAGATTTTTAACATCAGTGGTCAGTTTGGCAATTTCAGAAAAATTAGATTTAGGTTGTTTTTTAGTGAGCAGAACCAATTCCCTGAAAAGAAAAATAACACATTTTAAACAGTATTTTGAACTTTATCATTTCTAAAATTAGTTCTAGTTCATCAAGTAACCAAAAGAAGAGAAATGTATTTGCAAATGTGAAGAGAGAACATCACAAATGCATTCTACTCCTTCAGTGATAGCAGCCAGAGATCAAGTCACAGAAACAAGCAATTAAACATCATGTAAAATATGGCAATTTTCATCATTTTAGAGATCTCTTAAAGAACTTGAGTTGCTTAGCGAGGCAATGAAATGCAAGGCTAGGTAGGCTTGGAAATGTCTGACTTCCCACTTAAACTTTGTCAACATCAAAGCAGAGATTATGAGGCTGGGCCCTTACTTCAGTGGACAAGGGAATAACTTCCCTGAAATCTCTCTGGTCTTTCCGTGGAAGGATAACTGAGCTCCCAGGAAGTTCACTGTTGTCCTAAATTAAGGAAGAAGGCAATGTAAGAAAGATGCCTGTCTTCATGGGTTAACTTGGACAGAAAAGCCATATGTTCCAGAAAGGAGGCAGCTGAGCAGCATCAAATTCTCTATCTCCACCCTCAAAAGCACTCCATGATTTTTCTATTTTACATGGTGTTGGAGCCAAAATCTTTCCTATCTTCCAAAAGAAAAGAATACCTTTTGTCCTCTAACCTTTAGCGGGCTGAAATTTTTAGTAAATGCCTGTATCTGAATGTTAAAATCTTTGGTTCACTGAAGAAGAAATGAAGGGATTGAAGCAAATGGGAAAACTTGAAGCAGGAGACGGTGGGGACAGTTGGGTATTATGCAATTTCATCCACAGCCTTGTGTGCTCTATTTGAACAGGCAAGTAACACATCTAGAGAAAGATGCCAGGTTTCTATTGACAGACACTGCTAAGTGAGAGGGTAAATGATTTTTCAAGTTTAGTCAAAAGAGCAACAAAGTCCACAAATCCACACAGATAACTTACACAGCTTTTGCTACTTTGTGGTTGAATTTAACCCCAATTTCACATAAATGATGATGTCTCAAAGATATTTCTCTAATGTATTTTCTGATGGGTTCTAGCTGTAAATAGAGAAACAGTATATCAAAGAAATATGATAGTAACAGAAAACATTAATCTCAGCATTAGTAAAAAACCAAGGAAAGAAAAATAAATATTATATATCTTCTCAAAATTAGAAAGTCTTCCACTGAATACTTAAGAGAGGCCAAAATGTAAAAGCATTAACATGGATTTTCTTGTGAAATAGAATCTTGCTTTCCTAGAGGTCACTTTTCCCAGAACCTCAAACATTTGGAATATAAATGAAAACAAGAAAGTGAACAAATAAAAACTTGGAGAGTCACCAGAATAAATTTCAATAATGTCTTACAGTTGTATTTTGCTTTTATCAAAGTTATTAACCTTGCCATCCTGGACAAGTCTCATGCTGCTTAACTAAAATGTGCCTTGTTTGCAATATCTATTAATTAACTTCTCCTCCACATGTTCTTCTTTTGTTTTGATTTGTTTTTGCAGTACTGGAGATTGAACACAGAGGCTTTTATCCCTACTCAGCTACATCCCAGCCCCTTTTTAAAATTTTGAGACAGGGTTTTTAGTTGCCCAGATTGGCCTTGAACTTGCAATCCTCTTGCCTGAACGTCCCATGAAGCTTGGATTATAGCCGTTGCCACTATGCCCAGCCAAATGTTGATATTCTTTTACTCAGATTTCTACTTTTGAAGCTATCACAAATTTCCATGAATAAATAAAAACATAATTATGCAAAACTAAATGCATACATGCTTTGTTATGATAGCAAAATTTTGAGACAATAAAATAACACAACTTCAGAGTGACAGTTAAATAAGTTAAATAAGGCACATTATTTTTGAGAAATTTATATTTCTAATAAAAACAGGCATGTTTAAGCTCTGATAAAAATTGTATGTTCAGTGTGATTGCAACCACATTTAAAATAAAATCTGTGAGGAAATCGGTGAACAGAAGACATTATTATTATTAAAAGAAAATATTCCCCAATTGTCATCTCTATGTGGTAGAAATAGAATATTTAAAATTTTCCAAAAAGTTCTATGTTTTCATTTAAAGCATTATATTGACCATATATTATTTTTTCCTATGAGTAACTGTGCCTTACAGTGATATTTTCAAAAACAAGACAAATAATGTATATAAAGGCAATATTCAAACCACAAAACTATCATGATAATAATAGCTTGACTTGAATATTATCAAATACAAGTTAATTTTATTTTATAGCCAATTATGGATTGTTATTATTTATTATAATTTATTATTTATTCCATACACTCATTCAAAATCAAGTATAAGTAAGATCATCCACTTTTACATAACAGAGTTTTAACTCATAGATCCCATTCTCTGATCATAGACATAAGTTTTACACAATTGATTGTGTAACTTTCCCTAAGGAAGCAACAAGAGTTACTAGGAACAGAAGTCCTAGCAGTTGCCACACTATAAATATCACCAAGTGAGGAAGAGGGGGAAAGATTTCTTAGCTAACTTACAGCACCTGCTTGTGTTTAACAACACGGGGAAATTTAGGACAAATCTCCCCTGGAAAAAATCTAATTATAAAATACTTTATAATTAAAACATAAATACATGCAAGTTATGTACAAAATTCACCTCCATGGGGGGGCATCCTTCAGAAATGCTGGGTATTGAGATATGTCTCTGCATGATAACTGGCTTTGGGTTTTTAATTAATATGAAACCAAAAGAAGTAAAAATGGCTATCTTGCTTAGGAATTTGAAATAGACTTCTGACCTAACTGGAGTTTACCAAGAGAAGAATGAGGAGGGAAATAGGAAATATATATATAAATAGATTTAAGGAAAACAGCTACAATCATTGAGTACTTAGCCTATGCAAGAAACATCATTTAATTTAATTTCTGATAGACAAGGAAAAAGCTGAGTAAGAGAAATAAAATTGTCCTATTCTAAAATATGAGGTTTAGAGGAAATGAGATAATTTCTCAATGAGAAGTTCAAAGAAGACAGCAAGGAAAAAGTGGCACTGCATTTAGTCTTGAGGAATTCATCAAAGTGATTGCTAAACTAATATTCATTTTAAGCATGACTTTTGGAAAATTGACCTAGTATCCCTTCAGTAAAATAAAGATGATCACTTTATGTTAATATTTAGAACCTTTAGTGAAAATGCAAAAAAAAAATACCTTTTCAATGGAACTACTTACTGATTCACATCTATACAATGAAGGAGGAAAGGCCACATAACAAAGTTGTTTGTAGGATGTATTTTCCATAGGTGGCTAAAACAACATCTCATACCCCATGTTCTTACAAAGAGATCTCAATAATCCTCCCATCAAGAGGTAAGGTAGGTATATGGTCCCCTCCAAATGGGTGAGGTTTCATAGTGTTTCAACCAGTAGAGCATGGCAAAAATGACTTCTGACACTAGATACAAAGGATCAAGCAACTTGGTCTTTATCCATTACACAATGCATTGAAGCCTTAAGCTACAAGTCAGCATCCAACTGCCCTCAGGCTGTTATGCTAAGGGGAAGCCCAAACTTACCTAGGGCAGAGATACTGCATGGAGATACATTTGATATTTTATAAGGAAAAAAAAGATGGCAAACCAATGCCCAGTGCTTCAGCTTGCAGAGTCCCAGATGTCATGTAAATAAAGCCACATGAATTATCATGAGCCAAAAACCTCCAGATGAGCTATTTCCTGAATTCCTTATTCCCCAAAATTATAAGAGATAATTAACTTATAGTTATTGAGTTATTAAGTTTGGAGGTGTTTTATTATGCAGGAATAGTGGCTGGAATATTAAATATTTATTATTTATTAGGAAGTAATATTTATGTTATAGTATGCTTCTCAAATCTTAATGATTGGATGAATTACCTGCGTATCTTGTTAAAATGAAATCTGTTTAGTAGGTCTAGAGAACAGCTTCCAATTTTGCATTTCTAGCAAGCTGCCAGGGGATGAGTATGCTGCTCATCCAGAGTCACACTTGCCATAGCAGTTGACAAGTGTCTAAACAGCAGTTGGCCCGTGTCTATTATACCTTTATCTGCAGGCATTCGGTCTTATTTTCCTCTTGACAACATGACTGAATAGCTGTTTTGTAGCAAGCAGACATGGTCAGGATAGTGGGTCCATATAAGTATGGATGCCTTCTAGAAATTTCATAACTGTACCTGTAATTTGACAAACACAAAATTGTATAATTTGGAATTCAAGAATTAATGGTGATACTATTTCTTAAAAACAGAATTCATTTCGTTTTATTGACCTGAAACTTCTAGAAATGCATAGTGATTCAGATGAAATAGCACACTTTGCTTAAATGCTTCACATCTTCACTATGGACAGATCACTGTGAGGTTGGTCTGACATTCCTTGAATGCCCATGAAGTGCCCAAGGCCTGTGGGAAAAGAAAACTCAGTAATATAACCTCCCACTTTTTTATAGAGTGGAATGTAGAAAGTTCAAGAGTCTAAACTGAATTTAAACAGTGCTGCATAAGAATTAAATTTACAAGAATTGACAGGTACACAGAAGTCTCTTATGATCTTTCAGAAGTCCTTTCTAGACCATGAGAGTTAACACCATTGACCTTCAAGGTGTGTCATTCAATGCATTCATTTGTTTCTAAATTCCCAATAATTATTTCCTCTTACTAGTCTTCAAGGCTTATTCAAGACCTACCTGGACACACATGCAAATATACTCAACAAAAGGCAAATTACAGATAGAAAGTGGTTTGATGCTCACACAAATATATTTTCTCTTCCTGTGTGCACAGGAAGACTACCTTTCCAGTCTCTCTTCCACTTAAATTGAGAACATGAAACTGAGTTCTGGCTGATAAAATATGAATAGGTATTCTATCTACCCCTTCTCAGCTTGACCATTCATTGCCTTGTGAAATTCCTAACTATCTTTCTTTTGGAAAGATAGTTACTGTGGAGGAGAATGGTCAGGATTTGAGGTGAGCTGGAATGAGCTGAGCTATCAGGTGTCAAAGTAGCCAAGTATGACTAGAAGCCAAAATTGAAGTAACAGTTACACCTTTAATCATTTACCAGCATCATAAAAAACAAGGGCTAAATTGAAGAAGGTGCCAATTTCCCTCTGTCCCATTTTTTCCCATGTCCCAGGGAAAAGGAGCTGGTGGATCAGCATAGATCAGCATAGATGTGGGGTCTGCTCAACCCTGAGGGAGTCCCCAAAAAAGGCATCCTGGAGCAAGAGAAAGAGCAAGAGGGAAAAGGCTAGAATGGAAAGGTCAGAGTGGAGAAATGTCTTCAATTTTCTCCTTTCATTCCTTAATGGATTTTAGCAGAGGTACACTGGCAATGCCTCTGCAGAAGGTCCTCTAGAAAGAGGTCTTGAAACAGGCAGCTGAACTAGGGATGCTGTGGGTGGGAGCCTAGCAGCCACATGGCAGTTGAGGCTTGCGTCCTTGACTGCAACACCCTTTAGGCTCTGCTGTGCACTGGCTGTGTACCCAGTCCGGTGCCAGGAGGGACTCTTTGAGATGGCCAGTTGTTGGGCATGAAACTGTGGTCAATGATAGCCTATGTTAACACTTTAATAAATGAGTAGTTAAGCTCATGTTTGGATTCCCAGCTGGTCTCTCCTAACATGAGGCATGCTGGAACTTGCCTGACTCCTTTATCCCCGAGTCCTTCCTCCCTAATGTCTGATACAATTTAATTCCTTCTTGAAGTTTCAGAAAGATCCGGAAGCATTTCTACCTCATATGGGTGAAGTAAAGGAGTTTAAGCCATTCATCATCCAGTTTCCCTGTCTCCTATTCATGCCTGGTCTGGATTGCATGTCTAAAACCTAAAATCAAATCACTGCTTGGTTTCTACAGTCTATCATCTGCCTTATTCTTCATGTCTGAGCCTGTCTTGACTAATATAGCCAGAACTGCATTCTTTGAGAGTCAAAGTCTCATATTTCCCAGTCCTTTTCTGACTGTAAACCCCAATTGCTTGCTAGTACCCTCTTCAGACTCATCATATGAATGCTGTGCCAAGTAGGACTCCAAATTATGAGCTCAGCAACACATTTGCTGGAGTGCTATCCACTCCACATGGAAATTACAGAGCCAGGATTTTTAAGTTGAAAACTCATTTCTATCTAACCTACAACTGCTGCTTATTTCTAGGCACTCAATGACAGACTTTTTCTTCTTGCTTGTCAGATAACCTCTCTGCTCCTTATCATTGACCCTCCCTAATGCTGGTCCCTATTACTTGGTCTCTGTCTCTAACTGTTTATTATGTTTTGCCTACTTGGATGCCTATTTGACTGTACCTTCCAATATCATTTGCTGTTGATCTGCCTAATCTAGCTCTCAAGAAGATGAGTCTTATAGGTCCTATTCATTTTTTGTTTATTTCACACAGAGATTTTTTTTTTGTCCTGTTGTTCAATAGAATAGTAACTGTCATTATGAGGGAGAAAAAAAATATATATATATATATAGTGTCTCAAATTTTTAATTTAATTCCATGTAATCAAACATTGTATCCTCAGAGGAATTTAAATTTAAAAAATAATCTGTTTTCAATGTTGGAAAATACTCTCCTTCAAAGACAATGTCAAATAAAGATGGCTTACCTCTCCTTCATGGTCACTTGATTTTCTTTGTCCATTTCACAGATCATCTCAGGCTTTAGACTTTGGAATCCATCCTTGTGATCTCCATAATCTTTTTTATAGAATAAGAAGCACTTGAGCCTTGCTGTGCTATTTGTATTACAACAGTTAGCAAACAGGTGTTTGGCAAGCATTCCTTGGTTGTCACAAATATGCTCTAGGAACCTGGTCATCTATAGGAAGAATGATGACTTAGAGGGGAGAGTCTATGTAATTGACACTCCTGACTGCAGGAAAGTTAAGAAATTATTATAAAGAAGAAGAAACTAAGTATATAACATTAAACTAATCCCTAGGTACAGCTCTTTTGAGCAGAAGCCTTTTAGGTTAGAGGACTTTAACCTAAATTTAAGTCTAAATTCCCAAATTTGGACTTTAACCAAGTAGAATTTTTCATTCTCCCTTTTCCAAAGCAATTGTTTCATTTTCAAACAGTTGAGTTACTAAAATAAATAAACGTAAGCCAGAATGTTTAGGCAAGTTATATTTATTTTTTAAAACTCATCTATATTTATCATCCTTTAAAGTAGAATGTGACTTTGGTACTACATTTCCATTCATAAGCCTTACTCTTGAGTTTTTCAAATGGCTTTATAACAGCCTTAGGAAGGTTTATAGTTTTGTTTCTCTGAGTACTTTGGAAGACAAGCCCTGTGGAGAGTTCCTCCCATCCAGTTACTTCAGTTTCACATACGTCTAAGGCACTGGTATGTGCAGAATTTGTAACTCTAAGGGAAGGGAAGTTTAAAAAGTGGATCCTAACAAAATGAAATTCAAAGGTCAAGGTAAATGTAAAGAGAATGATTTGCCAAGAAATAGGTTTCATTACTTCCAAATAGCTTTCATTACTTCTTTAGTTTTGTTTCCATGAGAACTTATATTGGGAAATGAACTTTGAAGCAATGTGTATTTGTTTTCAAATATCCACATGGAAATACAATAATTTTGGTTAGCTTTCAAATACTTTTAAGTGGCAATAAATGTGTGGGATTCAGTAAACCTTAAGTGACATTTGTTTTCAGATGTGAGGGATAAGAGCAGAAACATTTCATCCTTTGAAATGGAAATAAGTAGGAATCACAATAAAACAGTGACACTATAAAATGAGACATTGATAGAAGAACTTCATTTCAAATGTGTTTCAAATGAGACTGATGACTTTTCTGTCTATTCAGAATCCAGTAAAAAGATATAGGTAGGTTTTAGCCTTAAGAAGATGAAGTTTAAAAAAAATGTAGATAAAGAAGAAAAATGGTTTACATTTGAAATCATTTAGCATGAGAATAATGGATCAAAATGTGTGTTGTAAAAAGAAAAAAAAGTGTCTTGTAAGACAATGTTGGTGTTTATCAAGAATCTCTTGAGGAAATCCTGATTTTGAGGGAATTTGCTATCACAAGAGAGATATAGTTTATAAAGAAATAATAATAATTCTCACAACTCTTTACTAACTGGGAAAGCAGTCTATAATATTATTCACTTCTTTCTTCTTTTTTATGTCCTCTCAGAGACTTTTTATAATTAATACTCCAATTTCCCAGAATTCTTTAAATGAGGATGTCAGATAATAGTGCTTAGAGACTCAGTCAGAGCAACCAATAAGTTAGCACATTGTGCTCAAGGTATAAATCCTTCTCTTAAGGGTTTGGTTCTCAGAATCTGGTGTCCCAGGATGAACTGATAAAATGTAGGTTTATAAACCTACAGAGATTATGTCTGAGCTATGACTCTACATATTCTTGCTTTACAATCCCCTACCTAATTATAGCAACCCTCTCTTCATAGCAACACCTCTTGTTTACAATATAGTTTTAAAAAGAGAAAAAAAGAAGCAGTCTATGATTCACCTACCAACTGATGAGCACATTCTGTGGCTGACACATGTGATTTAAAATTCTTGCACTTTTCCACAAGATCTAGTAACTGTTGAGCCACAGTTTGTATTTCTTCATAAGTTGCTTTCTGAAGAAACTGAGCAATCATAATGCTGGTACTGAAACATATTGATGATTGTTAAAGATAGAATCAAACCCTTTTTCTCTGTTTTTTTTTTTTTATTATATCACTGTTGCTTCACCCCCACCCCAAAACTGTGTTTTTTAAATTTCAAACAAAAGAATATTAATGATAAAACTCACAGGTCTTTTAAATTCTCTTCCACATAATTTTGGGTACTAAGATGCTGCATGGCTGAAAAATAAAATTTCATTTGCTGATGAGCTGGGTGCTTGCAACTCCCACATTCATTTATTGAAGTCCTAACCCTCAGAGAGATGGTATTAAAGGTGGGGACTTCTAATAGGTCATTAAGGGGAATGTCTTTTAAGCAAGGCCCAAAGGAGCTCATTCTTTCTTGCTACCATGTGGGAACATAGCAAGAAGGCATTATTTCTGAATCATACAGTGAATTTACACAAGATACAAATATAAGAGTACTTACCAGATCCAGAATCTGACAACATCTTGATATTGGATTTCCCAGACTCCAGTACTGTAAAAAATGAATTTCTGATGTTTATAATCTTCTCAATTCATGGTATTTTATTATAGCATCCCAGATGGACTCAGACATTTGGAAAAGAGGAAAATTTCCAGATTTAAATCTCCCTTTAAATTCTTCAATCTGTGTGTACATAATAATAAATTTTTGGATCTATTCTTAATTGCCATAATGAATAAGATGAATGACCAGAATATGTTTTCACTTATCTTTAAACTGTTTTCTATGAATGATTTATTTATATTCAAACATATTGTGTAGCTGAACTCTATCATTGGTCTACAAATAAGCTGCATATAGTTGTGTTGACACTTCTGAGTTAATTAAATTTGATGATTTGGTTATTAAACTCTTTAATTAGATGTTATTAACACACCCACAGTTAAATATTAGCATGGGAAACAAAATTGTAAACATTAACACCTTGCCAGGCTTAATTTGATAGAGAAGATGTCTTACATCTCGGATTTGCCCACCACCCTACCATAAACAGTGTCTTCCTTCTTATACTAAGAGCTTCTAAAGGACTTGGCAGCTATTTACTAAATAAACATACCATTATTAGTTGCCATATTAAGATGAGAAAGGCTTAGGAGAGAGCTATCCTAAGTTCAACTTCTATTTGTAGAAAATATCTTAAGCTCTGTGAGTTGATTTCTCTAGCTGTAAATGTACATATCATATCAGGTGGTCAAGATTAAATAAAAGTGTGAAGTACCAAACATGGGGTTGGCACATAACAGATACTGAATAATGAAGCTTATAATGTTATTGCTGTTACCATTCATATTATTTCTCTGCCTAAACTCCTTTATCCAATTTCCAATATTGGTTTGCTTCTCTGACCTAAAGTGAAAGTAAGGCTAAAGTGAGATGTTCCTGTATGTTTTGCCTTGGTGCATTTCCTTTTTCTGACTTCATCCCACACGCTAATGTTCAGCAATTTTCAGTGATTCTACTGACAGCATGACTGCTGAGACAGTAAGTCTTTCCACGTGTATTTTCATAGTCATTATGCCTACTTGTCTTAGCCTTACACATGTGATGTGTAAGTTATCAGTAGGATTTCCTACCTGCATGTAGTAAACTTGTCTGAAGAATTTGACATTTAATGTAGCTGAAGAAAACAAGAAAACATATGGGTTTAAGAGTCTTCATTATTTCAGATGAATCTTTATGGAAGATGTTCTGTCATTTGAAAGAAATGAAGAATTTATTTATATTCTTTTTGAGGATTGACTGTTAACAATTAACTTTTCTGGCTAATATTTTTTTCTAAGTCCACTTTGACCCTAAAGAGAATTGAGGAAATCCATGACAATGAAGAAATATTATTGATGGATTGCATTCTTTAGTGCTACTGGATATTAAAACAAGTCATGTCAATATTGTTTGTTCCAAGATTACAAAATGCAGGCCTTGTAATAAAATAATAAACACCTTTGGTAAATACTAGTCTGCGACATCTTATTTCCTAGAAATTCTTATTGACACGTACAAAGTTCTGAAGTGTCAAGGGAGACAGTAAACATGTGCTACCCTAGCTTAAGTAAATGGTCAGGGCCCAGGTGTCAATGCTGGGCATATTTACAAGACCCTGGAAAAAGAGGAGTTTCAAGTCCCGCATGCATTGGGAGCAAATCCAAGGAATTGGGATCTAATTTATTAAATGCTTACTATGGATGAGAGATACATTTTCCTGAAAACAACCCCCAAATCTGTTATTTAGATTTGGAACATATTAGCTTTTGGTTGAGGATACAGGTGGCCCTATGTGGCAGAAAGCCAAGGTTGGCAAAGAGAAGACTATGTTTGATCAGTTTCCAGCATCCTTTCTGGGATCTTCTAAATAGTCCTAATGCTCAGTGTCTCTTCTGTCACTCGTCCTTAGAGCTGCTCCCTTGACTTCCTACTATAAACCTCCAGGAACTATCAGATGGAACTTTTAAACTAAGTTCCATCCTTTGGGTGAATACTGTCAGACTGTTACCTACCGAGGTCGTGACTAACTGATCAGTAAACTCTTCTCCTCCGAGCCAAGCTCAACCTTAGAATTATAAGAGCACAGTGCTATGGGCAGCCACTATTGATGGACTGGAGTTGACACTGAAGGGACAAAAAGCATCATAAGCTAATTTTTCCTTGAAAAAATAATAAGTGACCCAAATTCTCCATGGTGATCCTCATCTCAGAAACATTTGCAATCACTAGAATGAGATTTTTGATCCAAAAATGTGTTAAGCCTAATGATAGTAATTTATCGTGGAATTTCAGACCTTAGGAAAGTGAATTCATGTGGATTATTTAAGTGAATAAGCTGGTTTGTGGAACATCACTCAACAGATTCCACAGAATTTGCTCATTAACAAAGGAAGCTCTCCAGGCTGGCCTTTAAAATAAAAAATGGAAGGTATACAAATACAAGATTTAGTGATGATTTGTAACAAATATTATTTGCAAATCAAATATAATTCTTACTCAAGTCATTGAAGCACATTCAACAGGATCTTAGAAGGACTAGGACAAGATCCCTGCATCTCACCAGAACCTTAAGGGGTAACAGCTCAGGTGAAGATAGTTTTGACATTCACTATTGTGCCATTTGTCTTATCACATTTACAAGCTTTTCTATTGAACTCTTCCTGTGTCCAGGTATGTTCTAGTCATTGATATGGATTCTGGGCAAGTAATGCAGAACGAGTTTGACTTGCCCTCACTCCAAATCTGCTCTTCTCCAGGCAAAATGTGTCTTTTGAATAAGCTGTTTCTTTCCCTCCTTTCCTCATATCACACTGGTTACCTGAATTTATTAGTGAGTTCCTTGATATGGAAGTAGAGATAGAAGTGTATGGCAGGTTCCTCTATGATAATACAGTTAGGTGGCAGAAGTTTCTTGGATCTAAGATTTTATATCTGCTTCTCTTATTAGAATCCAATAAAGCAGAATCCAACATTAAGTATTAAATTGAATCATCTAACTGTACTCTGCTGTTTCATTTCTGTTTATTAAACCTATTATCTATTGTTTCTACTTTCTTCCTTATTCTCCCCAGTTAATGAGTGTTTAGAGAAAAGATCAAAGGACAAAATAGTTTCATGAGTTTTTCACCAATCACCCGCTGACCAATGTAATAAGTTAAATAGGAATTTAATTACTTTATGAAAAGCCTTTGCGATGTGGTGGTTATTATCCCACTCTGCGCAAGGAAATGGAGGTCAGAGAGTGTAAGGAACTTCTCTGGGCCCTGAAGCAAGTCTGCAGCACTAGGAACTTGAAGATTCTATCCTGCATCCTCATCTCAATTCCCATGCAGTGTGTCCCACTGCAGGAGTCCTTTCTCATTTCTCTGACATCATAGGTGACCACCTTCTCCTCCACTCAGCAAAACAAAGGGACTGTGTCCATCTGATTCACATTTGTATCCACAGTGTCTGCCATACAATGAGATTCCAATAAATATTAGTTGAAATGGATAAGAATATGTTCTAAATAGTATACCAAAAGAAATTTGTGAATGTCCTCATGTGATCTATTAAATGGTCATGTTCTTTAACTTTAGACACTGAACCATAAAAACCTTAAATTTAGAGAACAGTCAGGAAAACAGGCCATGAACTCCTAATCATCCTTCATTTCTTGATTTCTCCTCTCCACTGACAGTACTGTCAAGCACTTACAGCTCCAACCCATAATGATTTCAGTGTGGAATACACGAGAAAAGCACTACTATTGCTGGTGAATTGAATGCCCCTGTCCCTCTCTAAATAACACATTTTTAAGGCATGCCACTTGGCCATACTGAGGAGGTGTGGACAGCAGTTACCAATATTAGAGGAAACAGACCCAAATCTTGGTTCTGCCAATTACTAGTCATATCACATTGAGCAGATTATTTTATCTCCCCAAATCTCAGGTTTCCTGTGTGTAAAATAAAACCTACTAATACAGTGGTTGTGACCAATGACATCATCATGTGAAGTACCTGTAACAATCTTTGATAATTGAAAAGATTGAATAAAGGTTGGCTGTGAGTAGAAGCAGCAGCTGCATCAGTAAAGGTGCAAGCCCTCAAGGGCCATTTCCTTCCAGCCCTGGCAAGGAGGAAGCCGTGAGCACTCTGCCCACCCAGAGCCTCTAGAGAGTTCTGACTTCCAGGGAATAGGGCAGGTGAGGCCAGTGTTCAAACAGTGTTGATAGAATAAATGAATCATGATTGCTTGATTTGGGTCACATTGATAGATGACATCAGTCTGAGAAACAACTTCACAATTTTGTTTTATTGCTTGCCACAATAACATGATTTCAAGTAAAGGTTACAGAAGAATCCTTTTACTTTATTCTTCTCAGAAAAGGGAATTTACCACAGGACAGATAGGAAGACCATAAGTTGATCTTTGCTGAAAAGAAAACACAGTGTTTTAAACATCAAAAGAATATAAAATGTTATAAACTTGGGTGATGGAAAGTCATGTATTCAATAAAACAGTTAGTGGTAGTCATGTGTTGCCTCTAGTGGTTGGGATTCAGGTCTCTCTTTCTTGAGATTTTTATAATATTGCTGTATCTATGCAACATTTTGTTCCAAAAGTTTGTATTATGAGTCTTACATAAACTGCATAAGAAAAGCATCATTTATATAAATTTTAGAAATCACAAATGTATTTCTTTTTGTTCATGTAAATGCTACAAGACTCTTGGTTTGCATGTCACTTATATCTCAATTCAACATATCATATTGAGACTCTCCAAAAGGATTCTTGGAAGAGGGTTTACCAAGGTTTGTATGTCCAGGCCAACCCTCAAGGATTTGTCTCCCCCTTATATCAACATTTAAAAGATTCAATCATTCAGACAACTGAATGCATTAGCAGAGGGGTGGTTGCTGTTCAGCTATTTTGAAAAGTGCTGGCACAGATGTAGCGTTACTACCCTCAAAAGAGTGAGTGACACCGGAGAGATATTGCAAGATCCACCTTGGGATTATGAGCTCCAGGCCATGTAGAATGGACCCCAAGTAGACATTGAAGCATGAGTGGGTAAAGCCAGGGAGAATGAATCAGCTACAAGTACCTCTGACCTTTGATTGAGACAGAGGGATTACCTCTGGTGCTTTTAACTTCATGTTTCTCAGGCAGCTTGACTTCAGTTGCCAATTTTGGGACCCTGCAATGGAAAAAAGAAATAAAAAGATATAGGAAGAAAAGGTTAAGATACTAACATCTAAATTTAGAAAAGCATGTTATTTTAAATTTTAAAATAGAATTTAAATCATTTCTACATTGTATAAGAAGACAGAGGACCACTTGAGAACAGACACTCAAGGTCTTTCATGAACTGCTAATACATTCATTATTTTCTTTACTTGGACCTAACACACACATTCAGGGAAATGCTAGATACCAATCAATATCCTGTTAGTTAAATTAAGCATATATTTTTTTAAAATCAGTAGATGGATCTCAACCAGAATGAAAGATGTATGTGGTGTGTTCCTGTATATGAACTGTGACTTCTGAAGTAGTCAAAAGTAGCACTCGCTCCCCTTCCACTCCCTTATGTGCTCTAAACTAAGGGATGTCGGAAGACCCAGGAAGGTGAGCCAGTCACCTCTATAAGGCTTTGCTTTCTCATACCCTTCCTGCTCTTCTCCCTTTGAAATGGATAAGGATTTCCTTTGTAGGTCACTTTGACTCTGTTTTATTAAGATGGTGAGTGATTTCAAACAGGAGGGTAAGGACCAATGGTATAACTCAAGGACAGTTATCACCCATCCATTTACATATGGTGACCTGAAATTCATTTTGAATGATATGACCAAAGCTGCAGGGATTAGAACCATGGTTTTCCTGACAGCTATTCTTCCACCATGTGCTCATGGAGAAGACAATACCCAACACCTGAATCAGAGAGGTGTCTGCAGGTGAGCACCTGTGCTGTCAAACACAGGACTCAGAGACATTGCATAGTGGACACAGAGTCCCACTTTTTAAATTTTATTTGACCAAAAACACAAGTTGCATCTCAGTGGGAAAGAAATATAACTACCTCTTCAAGAAAACAGGCTTCTGGCTCCTGCATTTTGCAGCATTTCTCTGCCATATTAGTGAAACTCGTAAACAGAGACTGCAGCTCCTCATAGGTGAGTCCAGGCTTGAGC